AGGTAAAGAAGCTTGTGAAGATATAGTGTTTATATACTTTGTAACTATAGCCTATGTATGTTTATACTTATAAAAAAATATGCATTTGACTAAAATTATAAATAAAGCTGGTTTATGAATATAAAAGTATTTTTGGTTTTAACGTTCAGAGAGAAATGATAGATTTTTTTGTATCAATTTATAATGCATTTACCCAATATATATATGCAATTAATATGTAATACAAAATTGTCAGGTAATTATATTATATCATTACACATGACATTTATCAAGATTTATAATAAGGCGTAATAATATTTTATTAATAAATAAATTATTGCCAGAGCAACTATTATATAAAAAATGCAAATATATTGCTATTACATGATATAGAAATTATTATTTAGGAGAAAAGGAAGGGTAAACAAAAATATGAATCATATTTTCATCAAGATTCTTAAAAAAATAAACAGAAATCATATTCTCTGATTGCATATATTTTCTTTGTATACTGGTTGGATAAATTTATTAAAGATGAAAGTTATGAGAATAGACTGAAAAATGAGACATTAATATACTTCTAATTCTATCTATAATAATAGAGACAAGGTCATTCTTAGAAATCTCGATCACAAAATTACATTTCTATTTTGACTATTATAAAAATAGAGGTTGAAGCTTATAATATCGCTATTATCAGTGGTAAACATCTTGCTTCCTATTATCTATCAGTAATAAGCCTAATAGTGAGAAATTTTTGTTCTCATACATATATAACTTCTGATATATATATACCTTAAAATTTTTGTGAAAAGTTAGCTGAACTTTTACATATTCCTATATACTTTATATCTTGCTAAAAAAAAGTTAAAAGATATGAGGCATAATTAGTATTATTATATGATATCAAGAGTTCCATTAAAGCATATGCAAATGGAATTTTCAAACCTTTTTATATGGAGATCTACTGGAGAGACTATTGTTAGTTTTACATACAATGATCTTAAAATTGTGAGTTCCTCAGCCCTTTATAACATATATTTTTAACGTTAATATTTACTTTTACTATAAGTCTTATATTACGTGTAGATCTTCTTTCACATTTTCTTATAATTATTCAGAAAAAAATAAAGAACAAAGGTTAATATGTTTTTTTGAATATATATGCAAAAATTAATATATCATACAAGACCTGACTGATGATTTACTTATTTTTTATCGTATAAAAGTATACTATATGTAACTTAGCAAATTCTTCTGAATTAGTGATTATTGCTCTAAATCAATAGAAGACTTAGCTAGATATTTGAATATTTTAATTAAAGGTTTTTTAACCTCAAACTTATTTACACACTTTTCATTATCAGGTGATAGTCTACAAAGAAATTTACTTTGATATTTATATTATCTAAATCCTTATCAATAACAATAGCATATACCTTTATCATTTCAATATATTCACTTACAGAGCTATCATATTATCTGAGAGCTAGTATTTATATTTCTTGGTCACTTTATAACCCAAAATTCTTGGAGGAAATGATCGATCTACAGTATTTTTCATTATTATGTTTATTGCTTATAAATTATGTCATATTCTTAATTGAAAAAATATGCAAAAATATTGATTACCAAAAAAATCTATCTATATTCAAATATTATTTTATTAGTATAATACTAACATGGCTGGCAAAATAAAAATGTGAATATATATACGAAAATTAATATATCATACAAACTTGTCTTGTGATTCATCTATTTTTTTTGTTATACAATCTATAGCTCAGTAAATTCTTTTGAGTTGAAGATTATTACTTCGGATTAGCTAGATTGGTATTGTATCACTTTATTATAGAGGGTCTTATTAATTTCAGATTAAGAAAAGCAAAAATAAAATTATTATTAGAGAACTCAGATTGAATCAAAATCTTAATATTACTGGCTTGTTTAAGATATTCACTAAATGTAGTAATAAAATTAGACATATTTTCCTTTTCAACTTGAATAAGGATAAAATTTTGGTTTTTTTAAAAGTGAATTTATTAATTATTATACGTTTAATCAAAACAATAAACAAATATTCCTTTAAAGTAACTGTTAACCTATTCAGTATAAAAATTACATAACTATAAGCATTTTTACTATTTTATTAGAATCAAGATCATGATTATAATAACATCCAAATCTTACAATATACCTTTAACTTTTTGGTGATAATCCTTTATGAAATACTTCTATAATATGATTTTTACAGAACTTAATAATATTATTATATCTCTTAATCTTCAAATAATAATCCGCTATTGAGTCTTCACCTTGAAATAATGATCTATACCAGAACCTATCAACATCATCTGCATTATTTTCTACCTTAATCTTATCTATATCTATACCATCTGGTTATATTTTCTTTCAAAGTTCCTCAGCACTATATGGCAATTCTATTAGGCTCAAAATTTGTAAAAAGTAAAAAGCATTGGATTATGTAAATGTATAGAGTATTGATTTTTATATCAGTCAGACTATATACAAATTATTTAAGTGTTTTCTCCTTCCAATGTCTGACTGCCTTTGTCTTTCAATAGATTTTGATTTAGCAAAAAGATCTTTCTAGTCTTGCCACTCCTGTTATAAATTCAGGATTCCCTTTATTATCCCATTCATATCTCAATCTATATTCTTTGATAAATTCATTATAGTCTTCATCTATCTTGTCATCTGACATTTTGCTAATAGATCATTTATATTTAATAAAAAATAAAGTACTGGTTAGTATATGCAAATATTAATATGTCACATAAGACCTGATTGATGATCTACTTATTTTTCTGTCGCATAATTTGTGACTCAGCAAAAATCTCTGAGCTGGTGATCAGTATTCTGAACTCAAAATTTTTTGCATTAAATATATCTTGACTTATTATAGCAATCATGACAAGTAATACTAATAATAAATCTGATCAAAGTGAAATATGTACTCAATTATATGAGATGTTTTTATATAAGAAGAAGAATATAATAGTTATTCAGGAAAAACTCAGTATTAATAGCAAATCAAATCAAATGACAATCCATTAAAGCAAGAAGGCGAAAATACTTGCTGACTCTTATGAATTATTATTAGATTTGGTGAAGGATTTAATACTAATACAGGAAAATCTCAACATTGATGGTAATCCCGTTTTAGAAGTAGAATATCAAAGCAAAGAAGCTTACGAAACTTCTATGGATATATCAATTGGGGAAATATATAATTTGCTTTTATATTTAGAAGAGGATATAATTGCAATTCAGGAAGAACTTCATATCGTTAGCCTTACTAATCAAGAAATGGTAGAAGAGACTGATAAAAATGCAAGAGCATATCTCCGAAAGTTTGAGGAATTTCACAGTCCCTTAGAAGATGTTTCAAGTGTATTAATACAGAAATTCATCGATAGGGGAGTAAAATGTTTTATTTTACTGGAGAGGGACTACCGTTATTTCTAAAGGTCTCTCCTCAAACAATTGTATGAAATATTTGTCAAAAATCCATCTAGTACCGGCCAGTGCCCATATCTAGATCAGATTTTCTAATCTATATTTTTTTTGTCGCACAGGGCGCATTTGGATGCAAAAAAATCTTCTGAGCCAGGCACTTCTCCGGATTAGCTAGTACCACCATTCTGTAGAATGCTATGATAATTCCTGATTAAGAAGGAAATAAAATTAATATTCTGAGCGCCACTGGCCTGTCTAAGATAACCACTATATGTGGCAATAAAATCGGAAACAATCTTATCCCTAAAAAACTTAATATGAATATTTGAATTAAGTTGGTCTAATGCTTTTTTTCTAATATTACCGCACCCTTCCATATCAAGATATTTTAAATTGAGAGCAATTTGCCCAATAGTAAAATCAGTAATTTTGCAAAAGCTAAGGTCAAGATGTTGAAGCATTGGGCAAGAATAAATGTTACAAATCGATATTTCAGTACGCTCTCTGCGGTAAAAAATATTTAGATATTCTAATTTATGACATGACTGCGCTATTGCAGATAGACCTTTATCAGTTATCGGTTTAGAAGTAAAGGTTTTATTGAGATCCAATTCAGTGTCACCCAAATTTAGATACTCCAAATTTGGATATGTGTTCTTCAATTTACATTTGGGCGGAATATTTTTTTATATAGAATTTCACTTGGTTTGATTAAATAAATCATATTATACGTCCTAAAAAAAAATGTATCATACGTCACCATAAAAATAATATGTAACTCACGATTATATTTGTAACAATCGTTATACACCGATTTAGTTATGCAATCGTGATATTGCGATATCGAAAAAAATTATGTGCAGACTTTAAGCAGTAGTATCAACTTCGCAGTGATTATACAAAGTAATACCATGACCATTCACAAATATAAACTTTTCTTTTTTTTAGATCCGGAGATTATATTTCATTAGAAATTTCATTAGAAAAAGATAAGTCCTTTGTTTAATTTATAACATATGAATTGACTAAGTGTATGCTGGTTTTTTACACTACACGCTACTATAATAAGCTTGATTCTAAAAACTTTTGTTGATTTTAAAATGAAAAAAAAATTTCTTTTAATTCTCCTTAAAAATTATATTGGCTTTGAAAAAAAATAACAATTTTTCTATTAATTCCTATTAAAATAAAAATCATTCGTACGTTGAGTAATTTATTTTTAGAATTAGTTCAATTGATTTTATTAATTGATGTCTAAATTTAGTATTAATTTTTGTTGATGAGATCAAATCATAAATCGATAAGCCACCCGATTAGCCAATCGTACAACATGATATAAATAAAAAATATTTTAATTAGTTTTAATAAATTGGAGAATCGTAATGGTTATTATTATTCTGATAAATTTAAATGTTCCTTTGTTGTATTTTCGTCATAACAAAGGAGTTGCATCGGGTGATTTATTAACCATGCATCAGTATATTAGAATCAATAGACCGATGTACCCAAACAATTTCTCTTTTTATTCTTTCTTTCCAATTATGCCAAATCCTTTTGAATACATTCGCAATAAAGGTATATTTTTTCCTCGAGTAAAATTTGTGAATCTTGCGACAGTTTTTAAAGTATAACCATATTCTTATTATAGTACAACAACACAACGTTGTTCAACTTGCAAAAATTTGTAACCAAACTTACCTAAGTATGTTGAGCGCTAGAAATTTTGATGATTTATTGCATAAAGTTCTAATCAGTATTATAAAAAAAAATTTGTTGCAAACCAGTTATTTCTTCGCTATTTAATATATTGTATTTTCATATGTTTAGATCTTCCTGTAATCCTTCAAAGACCCTCACATTGCTATTCTTGTTCTTCAAGTATCAAAAAAATTTAGCGATATGCCTGCCCTCGTAATCCAGTGGAATAACGGCGGTTTTAATGACGTGCCCGCATCACCCAATAATCGAAACGGAGTTGCTGGACAGAACCGAAATGCAATAATCAACTTTCTGACGGCAAATGGGGCAATAAATTATCATGATACCGTTTTCTTGTTTAGAGATGGCCCAGCACTTGCCACATGTGAACATAATCTACCTCAATGGTATGAGAAATTTTATTAATATATATTTATAACTATTAAACTTCAGATAACACATTTTTTCTTTCCCTTATTTACAAAAGGGTCCGTCATCAGGCTGCAATTCCTGATATATGTACCGCAGCAATTAGAATTAACAGTATAACTGTCGGAGGTGGAAGTCGAATTGAATTTGAACCTTTCGATCAAGCGTTTAATAGATAATTGTAACACGAAAGGATCATAAAGATGTATTACATTATTAATATATAATTTCGTCAATGCTATAACAAAATTTATTTGCGTTAACATCTTTATGAGCTTAAATATAAAATAAATAAATTTTTTACAATCTAAATTTTCGAATATAGAGTAAACTTTAAATGATCAGATGCGATTTGTGAGTTGGAAAAGGAGTATATCCAGTCCGACGATCTTTTTGAGTACAGTCATGTCACTTTTTAGCTCAGTCATATGAATTTGGATTCTGATCATCGGACCACGCAGTGACATATTTGTTAAATTTTTTTTTTTCCCATTCACTATATTCACTATAATGAGTGATAAACTTTATTTTTTCCCGTTCACTATATTCACTTTAATGAGTGATTTCGCAATGCATAAACTTTTTTTTTCCCCTTTCACTATATTAAATATAATGAGTGGTTTCGCAGTGAATGATTTTATTATAATGACGTGTTTTTATAATATTAATTTATTTTTAATATAATGAGTAGTTTCGTGGTTGAATGATTTTATTATAATGTTTTGTTATTATAATTAAATTTAATCTTCTATAATGAATTTAATTTTTACATATATATTATCTTAAATTTCTTTATAAAATTATTTCAAGAAATATTTCAAGAATACTGTAAATATGGATAATATCGAAATTATTGACGATAATGCTACACCGGAGAAAATACCAAATGTTAGTTATTGTAATAATTATCATGTCATGCTGTAATATACATATATAAAGACTAACAATAATAAATTTTTATATTGAAAAAGATTTGGTCATACTTGATAAAGAAGATGAAACAATAAATTTAATGACAGAGAAAATGAGAATTGGTGAGATCAGATATTCTACACTACCAATGGAATATCCACCAACTTCTTTAGAAGGAATTGCCATAGTATATAATATTGAAACTTGGGAAAGTTATGAATCAGCTTTTAATAATGTAAGAATTAAACATTATATTTTAATTTAGAATATTATAAAGAATATTTAATAATTATATATCTTTTTTGTAGATGCAATATTCTCAAGGACGTCCCTCTGGAGGTGGTGATACATCTGTATAGTATCCTTTTCTAGGATGTAATGTTAAAAAGTATAATCATACATGTCAAGGTGTAAAAGTTTGTGAATATCTTAGAAAGGATCTTAAAGATAAAATTCATACAGAAGTTGACATAGATTATGATTTTATTCATACTTCTAATAAACCACTATTGGATCAGAAATCTAAAGAAGCTAAGACGTATACATAATAATTATTAATTAATATTAATAATTATTTTTAATTAAAATATAATACTGTAATATTTTTCTTTACTAGAAAATATCTTGCTACAATTACTATAAATTGTCCATTTGATAATGAAAAATATAAAGGTCATTTGTTTCTCAGAAAAAATCTAAAAAAATAGCTAATGAAACAGATGTATAGTTTATAGGTTGTAACTATTGGTGAGATAAAAGCAAAGAAGGTAATCATTATTTTGAAAGGCTTAAAAATGATATTGATCTAATATTACTTTTAGGAAAATTATTCAATGGTGAAGTTGTAAGTAATTAATTTTATTACTTTTATAATAATTACTAAATAATATTATTATTACTAATTAATTTAATATTTTAATTATTTTTATTTAACCTACATCAATTGGAAATGTAATTTCATGTAATATTATTCTTTCATTTAATACAAAAAGAAAAATATGTGGTAAACAAAATTTTTTATTAAAGAATTATATATTAATAAATTACTATATATTTTAATACTCATATTATTTTATTTATATTTATATTAATTTAAGGATTTTTACATTGACATTCTAATTGATCAAGAAAAAATATTGAACAAAATTATCAAGTCAAATTTTACAAAATTATACCATTAGATTTAAAAAAAAACTATTTGTTATTCTTATATTAAAAGGTCTTTATATGCATTATTTACTTTTACTAAATTATGTACTTTTAAATATTATGAAAAAATTAAAGAAAATGCTTGAAATGCAAAGTAAAGAACTTATAAATATTATAGCTCAAAAACTTATATTAAATATATAAATTAATTTTAGTTATCTAGCTCTAGTTAGTAATAAATATTAATAAATTTTAAATTAATTTATTAAAGATAATCTAATTAAAGTTAGTAAAGAATTTTTTCCACAAATTTATGCCTCATTAAATAATATGGATAAGTTACATAGACTTATAATAATAGTTCAAAAAGCTCATCATCCTTTTGGTTAGGGTATTCTTAGACTTATATATAATATATAGAAATTTAAAGAAAAATATCTTGGTTATATTCAGCAATTAGGTTTATATTATTTTATATTTAAAAATTTTTGTTATTTGTTTATTTGATTTTTAATTATCAATTTATATTTAGCTACTTTTTCAAATAATCAAATAATGGTTATTTGTATTTCTGAAGTTATGGCTTGTACTTGGATTAAATTAGAATATTTTAAAGTTAATAACTATGATTCACAATATAATATAAGTAAGTAATAATTATATTTATTTTAAAATTTTCTCAAATGTAAATTTTTCAAATGTTAATTTATTTTTTAAAAGGTTTAACTTATACCTGAATTTTTACAAATATTGCTAATGCAATTTTTTATAAAAGAATGTTTAGTGTATTTTTTGATTGTATATATCAGTTAATTAGAAGTAATCCACAAATTTTCATATTCATAAAAAAGGTTGAAAATGTATTTTAAGTGATTTATATCAGGTACAAGCAAAAGGATTAGGAATGGCTTTACATAAAATCCATAATACTTTTACCTGAAAAGAGCATTTATTGTATATTTTTAAAAGTTATTGAATTCATTATAATAGGTAAAAGTACTATTTATTTTATTTATTATATATTTGATATATATATTTATTTTATATTTATTGCTTAAAAAACTTTATTTTACTATAAAAATATTAAAAATAATAAATATTCATATGATATTAAAGCATTAATATATAAATTTTCTAATGCAAATAATATTGAAAGAGTTAATCAAATTTTTGAAGAATTAAAAGTATACTTATATATTTTGATAATTATTTAAGTAATTACTATATATATATATCTTCATTTATAAAATTTAAATTTGATTATATTTTATTCAAAATCATAAATGCATGCTTCTTCTCTAAACAAAGTATATTCATTTATAAATCCAGATATTTGAAATAACGCTTCTAATAATACTAATATAGTAGAATTATGTCATACAAATTCAAACTGTAATAGAAAATTATTATTCTTGCAATCAGCTATTTAAAGTAAGTTAATAATAAAATTATAAAGTGTAATAATAATGTATAAATTAATAATTCTTCTTTTTTTATTAGAGCTAAAAATTATGATAAAAGATATTTTGTTTCCTGTGAAATTTAAGGTAATTATAAAATTTTAAATCTGAAAAGGACTAAGGTATTATAATATGAGAAAAATAATCTTCTAAATAAAATAGTATGCATAATGTGAAATTATATTTCTTATAATATATTTTTATTTTGCTTAATTAATATAATAAATTTATTTTTTAGTTATTAAAGTTATTAAAAAACTAATCAAAAAAATAAAAACTAAGGTTTCAATAAAAGTATTACAACCTAAAACTAAAAAAACAAAAATAATTGATTTGTCAAAAGATAATATTAATTTTGAAATAGAAGAATGTCTATTATTATTAAAAGATTAATAATTAGAAATTAAAGAACGTGAATTGAAACTTGAACATAAAAAATTAGAATTACAAAAATTAAAGCATGATTTTAATACCACTCAATAATATTTGTGATTTGTTGAAAATTAAACTAGTAAATTTAAACAACTTGTAGTAAATTCTAAAATGTATATATCATCAAATTAAAAAAATAAAGCATTCTTGCAGTAAAATATTAAATATTAGGATTAATTAGTTCTTTATTAATAAACAATACTAATACATACACTATATAACGCAGTGAAATAATCAAAAATCAGAATATTTATAAAAATGTATAAATCAAAGTAAAGTAACTTTCTATCCAAATCATGGTTTTTAAAAAAATTATTTCAATATAAAATATATCCATCTTTATTATGATTATGTGATGCTTATTTGTCTTTTATGTTTAAAATGATAGAGTTTTTTTGTGAAAATTTATTGGATATACATTATATAGATCATACAAATTCTAACAGTCTAATTAATCAACATTACAAGATTCAGCTTGGTTATCTCAATTTGATAGTGACCAAATCTTATTAAAATTTATTCAGTCTATATTAAAAATTCACATGATTACACTCAAAAAGATCATTAAACTGTACTCTATAAGGTAGAACCCTTAAAAAGAATATATTATTATACTTACAGTAGTGGTCATAAGTATCCAACTGCTTCTAACTCCGGTGTGACAGGTAAAATTTTAGATAGATTTAATTGGTAGGATAGAAAGTCAATTTTATTGCCATGTAGATCTTCTATAAAGATCAT